ATATACATATATATATTTCAAACAAATTCTCCAGTGGAGATCGCATTCACCGTGAATTAAGTAAAAAAAATGAAAAAACATAAAAATCTGATATGAAAGAAAAAAGGAGCACGTGATCTGTCAGCCTGAGATCTGAGATGAGAAACTAGAAATTACACTGTAAATGATTACATCACCTAAGGAATGCGGGAAAAAGTATTTTGTGGTAAATGTCAAAATGTATTATTATTATTATTATTATTATATATAATTATATAATAATATAAATTAATTTTAAAGCTGTTTTAGGGTTAAAACCAAGAAGCAGCAGTTAAGAACTTTCCAAATGCTGGTATTGGCATTGGATAGATGCTAGCATGACAGGATTGATGATACTTTGTTTCTGTCCTCGAAGTTCAGTATGTAGTCCACTGCATTTTTGGAAGTGAAGAAGAAGAAGAACATCAAAAATGCACTCTGAAAAATGTCTGAGCCTTTATGTTTGACTTTGGTATCTTATTATTTTAATTATTAAAAAAACTAAACATTTTTTATAGCTAATAGCACATTTAAACAACAGAAGTTGATCAATATAACCTTAAAGACAGCCACATTTACATTAAAAGAAAAAAAAAAACAGTTTCAAAATAAAAAGTTGAAAGGTGTGTTTTGTTGTGTTCATTAATTATTGTGGAAAGCAAAAATGACAGTGATTTATTGGTCATTAAAATGTGTTCAGAATTTCGAAATTGATTATGATTCATCTCACAAGTCATAACACACTGCTCCCGCTACATAAGCTGGCTTTATGGAGTAAAGGTCTCAGTATCGGTATTGGTATGGGCAATACTGACCGCGTCTTTACTTGGTGTTACATCAATACGTAACTTTGCAGCATGGTACAGCACTACCCACCTGTCGAAACTTGTGTGAAACACATCAAACTGTAAATTAGCATTGGCCACATGATGTGGGTGCTTTGGTTGGAACCACACCACACAGTGTTTCGGAGTATCTGGAGTCAAATAGTCTTATCGAAAGTCCCAAACTGAAGGTAGGAACAGACTTTTCTTGTGAAGCTGAACACAAGAGTAAGCACGGACCGCGTTTGTGACGGACAACAACAGAACAGCTAGCTGTGTGTTAGATACCTCTCATAACTTCTTAAAATTCGGCATTTAAATCGATTGTCATCAGAACCTTTGTGGTGTAAGATCCTCAGCAGACGGATAAATGTCTGATTCGTCAGGTAGGACGGATGTATGATAGTTAAATTTCGGTTAAACTTCGAGAATGTGTCGCTGTTTCTGCGTGCTAGTGTAGCTAGCTTCAAAGCTAGGTGCATTCGTTTTACGTGAAACTGTGCGGTGAGTTTGACGTGCTGTTTTGTTTTTACATTTGTAGAACTTCCTAAATCAGAAAAAGAGGAGGAGGTCACTCCCGAACCAGAGGTGAGAATAGTAGTGTGTGTGAAGCAGTGAATGCTAGCAGCGAGGTGTGGTTAATGTCCGTCAGATTGACATAATCCAAACAAAACCCTCATTTGTCAGTGTCTGAGACAGGAAGAGGTGATAAAGCTGTTCAGCAATATTTCAGTGCAGTGTAGATAAATGTGATATGCTTGTAAATTTAAGTATTGTGTCCTATGCAGGAACAATCCGACGACAGCAGTGAAGACGAGGCTGCAGGAGACGCAGACAGTACGTGAACACATAGACACGGGATTTATAACTTCTGTATTTTCATTTTCACTCTTACTTTACTGCTTACATCCAGTGATTGGACTGGTTCCCAGTTGTATATATTTCTGCTGTTAGTTTGACCATTGTGCCAACCCAGCAGTATAATGTACTTCTTAGTAGCTAAATCCCAAGATATACTTTACTACTTGTGACTAAACAGTGTCAGTGTCCTCTGCATTTTCCTGCTAATGCAGTGGCTGTGCTGAGACATGTTTTATCAGACTAGGAGCTGCCTCTTGACTTGGCTGAATGTATCGATTTCTGCCTTTATCTGATTTTCCCTGTGTTCCCATCAGTGGATTTCATGCGCAACCTCTTCTCCAGCGCGCTGGGCCTCAGTTCAGCTGAGAAAGTCCTGGATGAGCTGACTCTGGATGGAGTGGCACGATACATAAACAGCGGCAAATGTGAGTCTTTGCCCGCCTTCACTCTGCCCCCCACCGGAGGGGATCGATTTACCGCTTACGAGCCTGTTTCCACAATGCAGTTATTATTGATTGAGCCGCAAGCTTCTCTGCTTTCATGCAGGTAAAAACATCATCTGCATGGTTGGAGCAGGAATATCCACATGTGAGTATCTCTCTTTTATATCACAGAATAAGCACTTAAACTGCTTAAAGATCACCTCTTTTATTAATTACTATTATTATAATAATCATTATTATTCTTAATGAGTAACTGAACATCATTTCTCTCTACAGCTGCTGGAATCCCAGATTTTCGCTCTCCAGAAACTGGCCTGTATGCAAACCTGCAAAAATACAACTTGCCTTACCCAGAGGCTATTTTCCAGATAGATTACTTTAAGGTTTGTGAGAGATTGTTTTGGACATGCTTGAGGGGAGATAGTGGCTATAAAACTTTGCCCATTTATTACTCACTTCTTAAACAACTTTGTATTCGCTAATATTGACACAAAAAACAACATATTAATTACTGTCGGCCTCGAATTCAACACATTAAACCATAACTCATATTTCAGTCAAAAAACTACTTTTTTATGTTCATTTTCAGCTCAATTTGTTTTATTCTTGGACTCTCCTAGAGTAGGTTCCCATGATTCACAGCTCAAAATAAACCCCTCAGATCATCCACTATCTGAAACATATCTCTTGTAGCTTTCTTTGCCCTCCCTTTAAACCATGTTTCTTGTGAATGGCTTTGGCCATGTCTAGTATGAACACGCACCATTGTAACAGGATAAAGTAAGTAAACACATAAAAGGTCAACTTCAAGGCTTTGGCTTTAACTCATCTACATTTGTCTTGTAACTTTTTTGAAATTGTTATTTTAGAAAAAAAATTATCTTTTTCTCCGTCTCGTATTTCAGAAACATCCAGAGCCATTCTTTGCCTTGGCAAGGGAGCTTTACCCGGGACAATTTAAGGTACAACACGCACACTTGCGGATTATTTGTCACATGTGTTGTTATATAGAAAACTACAAATGGCCTCACACTGTGTTCATTCTCTCATGTTGGACCTTTGCGGGTGTTTAGCCAACAATTTGTCACTATTTCATGAAGATGTTGAAAGACAAGGGCATCCTGAGACGCTGCTACACACAGGTAGGAGGAACACTCGCTTTTCACAAATGAAGTCACTATTGCTGCATTTACATTCCCGCCTGTGTTCATTCAGAATATCGACACGCTGGAGCGAGTAGCCGGGCTCGAAGGAGACGACCTAATCGAAGCTCACGGGACGTTCTACATGTCACACTGTGTCAGCTTCTGCTGCCGCAAAGAGTACAGCCTGGAGTGGATGAAAGGTGTGGTGTTTTTGTTTTCTTGCTTTGGATTGTTGCTTTAGTCTGATTAAGAGACACTTGGAATCTTAACTTTCTCCTGCTGTCTTGTAGAGAAAATCTTTTCTGACGACATTCCCAAATGTGACAAGTGCAGCAGTTTGGTTAAACCAGGTCAGTAGATGTTCATTTGTTTAAATGTTAGTAATGTGGAGTTTCAACCATGAGTTTTAGAAAGTCTCTCTCTTCTGCTTTTTCTTGCACAGATATTGTCTTCTTTGGAGAGAACCTACCTGCCCGATTCTTCACTTCAATGAAGATGGTGAGTGGACACCAGCGGCTTGTGAACATTCTGGCATATTTTGAGGAAATGTGATGCAGCTACTTAGTAACAGTAAACGTTGTTTTTGGGTTTGGTTTTTTTTTTTTTTTTGGTAAACCTTTCAGGATTTTCCTCGTTGCGACCTTCTCATTGTTATGGGGACATCCCTTCAGGTTCAACCATTTGCGAGTCTAGTCAGCAGGTACTGCAGCTCAACTTTCACATTCCTGTCTGAGCACAGAGACCGCCACAGTAATTGTCTGGTAGTAGACCACAGACCTGCAGGAGAGTTTGTTTGAGAGCGTTTGCACTCAACCACATTTTATAATTTCACGTAGATCTGGTGAAAACTTTATTTTGTGTGTTTCTTTTTCATTTAGGGTTTCAAAAAATTGCCCCAGACTGCTCATTAACATGGAGAAATCAGGGCAGGTAAGCACTCACCACTTCCTTTTGCTTCTTTCTTGGATTCTTTGTGCAGGCTTGTGTTGATGTGCGTCTCTGTGCAGGTTAATCCCATGATGAGTTTGTTTGGTTTCGGCGAAGGGATGGACTTTGACTCAGACAAGGCTTACAGGTGATAATGAGACACAGCTACTCCTCTCCATAGCTTTACTCTGGATTTGCCGTTTACTACAAACTAATATAAACAAAAGATCTTAATGAGTGCAGTGTACTGTAGCCGTACCTTTACATTAAGCTGCACAATATATGTGTCAAATACAGTTTAACAGATACTCAGGAAAAGGTTTTTTGTTTTATGATTTAGTTATTTTTATGTGAAATGTATGCTGTAAGTTCAGACTGATGCACAGAGTAATGAACACACATCACGCAGGCCACCATTTTACAACCAGAGGGCACCAAAGACTTATCTCTGTCCCAAATGGAATTGGTAGATACTTTGAATATACTACATTTTTTTTCATACTACTCACTACATTAATGATTGAACTAATTTATAACTACGTTGCTCAGTATCTGACTTGCTAAAAAGTTTCTATGAAACTGAAAAGTCATCGAAAGTTATCAGATTCCCTTTTAAATCAGCGGTCCCCAACTTTTTTTGCACCACAGACCGGTTTAATGTCAGACAATAATTTCACGGATCGGCCTCTACGGTTTTGCGGATAAATACAACAAAATAAGATTTCACGACCAAGACAAAAACTGATATTTTGTAAATATAAGAATAAACGCGTATTCACTGTGTAGTTGTGTAACTTTATTAGCAGCGTCCTCCTAAAATCCGCCAACAACATGAGATTAACAGCCTTCTCTCTGCCCCTTAGCTTTCTGGTCGCTATGGTAACATGTAAATATTTCTTTCAAAATAAGACGCACAACTACAACACTGGAAAAGACCTAGGGAAACCAAGTTAACAATAAAAACCCTGAAACCATAAATTTCACACCCGAGCCTCAAATCTTGCGGCCCGGTACTAAACGCCTCACAGACTGGTACCGGTCCGGGGGTTGGGGACCACTGCCTTAAATGACCAAGAAAGCTTTAGTGGAAGCAGTGAGTTTAATTTATTAGCATCTTGTGCCAAAACAAACAAAAAGCTAATTAATTAAAATGATGGTTATTTTTAAACTGCTTTCTTCAGTAAGGTGTCCATTGCTGCCTTATTTGCAGCTCAGTTTATGGTGTAAAAGATAAGCGGTGCTGGTGTTGTCAGTGAAATAAAAAGTTGTTTTGCACTAACACGTTGCTATTTATTTGCCTCTCTCTCCAGAGATGTAGCTCACATTAGTACTTGTGATGATGGATGTTTGGCTCTAGCTGATCTTCTGGGATGGAAGGTAAGTTACATGTCCCCTTTCAAGGATGCTGTCCTATGTTATGTTTTTAGGCCTATCATGTGTAAGGTTAAAACAAGTAAACACTGCTCAGAAAGTGATGGGAACACTTGATCATCAAAATATAACATAAAGTAATTTTAACTTCAGGGTATCAGTCTGTCTGGTTGGGAAGCAGAAACCACTGTCAGTCCATTTCACCTGCTTTGGTGCAAATGAGAGTGACAACAGTTGTACTGTAGAGGTGACAACCACTAAAAAAAATTTTTGCGTGTGGACCATTTCTTATGGAAGCCCGTTTCCGCCACTAAAAAAAAAAAAAAA